AGATGAAAAAGAAGATAATATTTTTCATTCTCAGTGAAAACAAGAGCAACTACATTAAACAGACAAACTAATCAAAGAAGACGTTAAAACACACACTGCAAAAACAAAACAAAAACAAAAAGGTTAGTTGCGTATCTTTACAGGACGTTGCAGAACCAACCCCAGCAGCCCCTGGCTGTTGTGTGGTTTCTCTAGGCAAAGTACGTCCAGTAGTTTGTCATTGCTTACTGGACGGTCGGCTTCTTGATACCACTGTCGAAACCAACGCAAGTCGCATGGGCCGCAGCTGGGATCGAACCCGGTACCCCGGCATTACGAATCGTTCGTATTGACTTAGCCACAGAGCCGACAAAACTTACACTGCAATGTGTTAAAATTTCATTACTGTTATTCTACAGTCTGTATCGTCCATCTGAATCTCTGAATGCGTGATCTGATGTAAACAAAACTCTCGTGAACAGATTTGAGTGTGGCTAAAACGAGAACAGATCTCCGTCGGAGGGTGGTCCGCATAAAGAGAAGGATATTTTGTGAGTTGGGAGAATTTATGTCTCCTGTCCGGACCTCTTTGTGGCTCTCTGGGGTATGTTGGGAGTAAGCAACTCGGACATTCCATTAAAGTGATGAATCGTTTCTTTCTTCGGAGGTCGTTGCAGACTACAGCGGATTTCAGAGTTCAAAAAGGTGTTTTGCTTGAGCTTTGATTTGTTTCTCTTGGTTATCTTGGGTTTACTGTCAGAAGGTCTATAGCAGCGGTTCCCAGCCTGTGGATCGCGACCCTTCTGGGGTCGAACAACCCTCTTATAAGTGTCGCCAAAGTCTTTTGGCAAACATATTCACTGGGGATATCAAGTAGCAACGAAAATAATTGTATAGTTGGGGTGTCGCCACAACATGAAGAACTGTATTAAAGGGTCGCCGTATTAGAGAGGTTGAGAACCCCTGGTCTATAGTATCAACTCTTCTTCGTTGTCGCATTTGGTGCCATCTTCTCTGTCTTGTACGTGTTGTTACTCGTGGTTGCCCATAAGTGTCTCGTATTTATTATAACAAAAGATAGTATGTTCATTTACCAAAAAGAAGCCGCGGCGTCCGTGGCTTAGGCGTTGCGAGTCTGACTCGTAATTCCAACGTACCGAGATCGAAACCCACTGCTGTCTGCGTGGATTCTTATCATGGTATAGGGCGTCGTAGGTCAACTTAGCCTTAAATGGATACCAGGATGGACGTCCTGGGGAAGTAAAGACAACCGGCGTAATGCTGACCACATCACCCACCTAGTACCGATTGGTCTGTAAAAATTCGGTTCTCTTCTCATATGCCCGATGCACCTAGAGGCGTGAAACAGGACTTTAATTTTTTTTTAAATAGAGAAGCCACTGTGGTTTAGCGACGAGACACTCATTCCGTGGATCCGAAGGTCGTGGGTTCAAATCCGAGCAGACCCTGACATTGACTGTTGTGAAAAAATGTTGTTGTTATCGATCCAGCGGCGCATGAGCTTTCGCCCTTTGGCCCAATGCCATGTAGTGGAATTTGCATGTTATTACAAGCTGTTCTTTTCCTCCGTACAAGGTGTTCCACTTGTCTGGTCTCGGAGGGAGTAGCGTTCTTTTTGTCTCACTGAGTTTTGGGCACTCAAAGAGATGGTGTTCGACAGTTTCGTAGGGGTAGTTACATAGCTGGCACTCTGAGGAGTGTTGTGGCTGTATTCTGTTTAGGTGTCCATTGAGTGGAGTATGTTGCGTTCTAAGTCTGAATATGGTGGCCTGGTCCCTTCTTGTTAGATGGTTAATGCTGTCATTAGGATCAGGGCCAGACATATGTCTATAAACCTCTCTTCCAGTGTCTCCCATGGCCCATCTGTTCAACCAAGTCTCTTTGTTTATAGCACTTATCAGTGTTTTTGCTGTCTGGAGGGTTGTCGCTGTAGGTGGTTGTTCTTGTGTTGCTCCTTTCTTTGCCAATCTGTCAGCTCTGTCATTACCTGGTGTGCCGGAGTGACCTGGAATCCACTGCATCACTATTCTGATGTTGTATGAGGTAATAAGCTGATCAGCATCCAGGATTATCTTGGCTATGTTAGTTCTGCAGCGTTCACTGCCCTCCAGAGCTTTAAGGGCAGACATTGAATCTGTGAAGATGACAATATTTTGGACCTTTGAAGGGTAAACATCCATTACAGTCTTTAGGTGGTATACTGCTGTTTCCAGTGCAATTATTTCAGCTTCATAGTTTGAACAGAATTCCCCGCATGCATCAAAAATCTCTTCAACAGATCCATCGGGATAACCTATGTAGATTCCGTAACCTGCTTTAATGGTAGCTTTAAATGCTGATCCATCAGTATAGACATGTATCCATTCTTGGGGGTAAGAATCAACGGTCTTTAGTGATGACCTTAGCTCCCAGGTCGACCCAGACTTGTATGGGTGCCATGTAAAGTGCTGGGAAGTAAAGACGACCGGCGGGTTGTTGACCACATTACCCATCGGAATGTGTTACTGGTCAGTAGACTTTTAAAGGGGGAGCGCGGGAGAAGAAAAAGGAGAAAACATTAAAGTCTAGCATAGATTGCCCAATAAACCTGATGGCATGAAAGAGTATCCGTTACATTTTTAATCAGCATAGAATTATTTTAATTATTATGCTTTCAAATTAGGATTTGATCGCTGTAGCGCCTGACATCCACCCCTCCCCACTTTTTCCCTTAACAGGATGTAAAGGATTGGAGCCATCTTTCTACCAATGTTTTATCTGTTTCAGCACGCCTAAACCCCGGTGCTTCTTGAGACACAAACAAGGAATTAGCTGTCCTGTTCTCACAAAAAGACCAAACAAACGTGCAAGGAGTCCAAACTGAACTGAATGTTTTCTCTGCCCACAAAGGAACCCCGAGGGGAAAAAAAGGCCCAATCAATACAATTCCTTGGGCGTCCCGCTACATTCAGCGAGTCATATGTTCGTGTCTTTCTTCTTACAACAGGCGCCAGATTATTTCCCTGGTGTTCTTTCTAAAAAAATCTGACAGTGTTATTCAGGTCGCAGATTAAACACATCGACTCTTTATTCTTGGAGACACAAAAGCTGCAAATTGAAATATCGACTTCCTGTTCCATTTTCCTACGTTCGCTTTTTAAGGGACCTTGTGCACACTGTGTTGTAGTTCACAGCTAAGCTGTGAACATTTTTTGCGCCTTCTAGCACACCAAGTCTGATTTAACTCTTTTAATACCAGAAGATCGAGGCTAATAATCAAAGCAGTAAAATGATAGGTGTACTTTATTCACCTAGATTATATCTACAATTCTGGTTGGAGTCAGATGTGTTGTTGAAGTGCTTGAGTATGCACTGACTGAATATATGATGCAGAAACATAGAAAACATATTCATTGATGAGTTTTAAAATCCATACTGGAGGGACAAGTCGAAGGCAAGAGAGCGAGATGTCGGCAAGGATGTAAGTGGAAGGACCGCAACAACATCAAGAGATGGACGGGTAGCAGTTTGAGAGTTTACAACCAGTCTAATCCATCCCTCACCCCCCATCCTTCCCCGCCCAACTTTTTCAGAATCCCATACAGGGTGCTTTCCAGTGTTGCCACTTTTTCACAGTCGACCTCACTGCATATTGGGCATTTCCATGCGTGCTCAGTCCTCCGATGCAGCACACACTAGAAAGTACTTCTGCTAATTGTTCCAATAAGAAGCTGGTTATATTGTCGCCTATATCGGCCTCGAAGACGGCATAGACGTACTTCATCATGCTTTACTCCCATCTCACGCAATCGTTTTAGTGTCAGGGATTCCTTATTATCCTCTTGGCCAGTCGGTACAGCGTTGACGATATTTGTTATGTCCATGCTTCTTCCCGCAATCCTTAGTGCATTGCTTGCCACTCACTCATTTCCCTTTACGCCCACATAACCAGGTGTGTAGATACAGGTGAGGGAGGTTAAGTGCGATATTAAAATGCCTTCTACCCGTACAGAGCGCATATCGCCTGTTGCTATCTTCTGAATCATATTCATGTAGTCTGATACAGTTACTGCCTATAAAACTTCTGATTTATAATAGTATAATATGTTTGAAAAAGGGTAAATCTATATTCAATGTCAGTGAGTCGTATATCGCGGAGAGACATGATCGCCCACGTCAGTCGGCAAGGCACCTGATGATGATGTTGATGAAATCCTTTACAGAATGCTCTTGGTAAGGCACGCCTAAAAATCTCTCTCTCTCTCTCTCTCTCTCTCTCTCTCTCTCTCTCTCTCTCTCTCTCTCTCTCTCTCTCTCTCTAGCCAATTCCCCAGCCCTGTGTGCTTTTATATTGAATGCACCTTCAATGGCTTGTGCTGACTTTCACGAAGGTCTGCCTCGCTGTCTGTGTGAGAGCTACCAGTTACGGTGCTAGCTGCAGCAAGTCGCAGATTTGAAAGCGAATCTCCTATGCCTCTGGACAGGAAGAACAGACATAACAAGCATCAGCACAAACTTAGTCTAGATAGTTCACCATTGTGCCCGTGTGGGCTGTGTGTGCAAACTGCAGAACATGTTCTGCAATAATGTCCCTTTGTACAGCCTATTAAGAAGGTAGTAGTAGTAGTAGTAGTATTTTTACCCCACCAGGACATCACACAAGCGATTAACACCCGATGACACAAAGTACCACCCTGTGGATGAGGATCACCCTTGGAGAGGTCCAAGAAACTGCGTTCTGCCATTAGGTCATATTTATGGCCGGGCTATATTGCGGCCTCTGGCAAGAGCCAAAGTAGGGCTTCAAAATAACGAAAAATTGCATCCCACATTGGGATGACTAGGGCGATGTAATTAAGAAGGAAATACTCAGCCGACACCATAGAAGAAATACAAAACTAAAATTTAACTCAGAAAAAAGCAAACAAAAAAAGATATCAGTGTTATCACAAGAACTCGTTTGTGGGTACAAATCATAAAGACATCACAAGAAGAAGTTCCCACTTGGAGACAGTACCTACCGTCTGCGTTCACTTTCCGTTTCCGGACCAGATCAATCTTGTTGGCCACAAGAACGATCACCCGGTCTGTCCCGTAATCCACCCGCAGGTAACGGATGAGTTCCTGTGCTTGCTGGAAGCTGGAGTTGTCGTTAATGGCGAAGACGACCACGTACGCATCGAGAAGCTGCTGTAGACCCTCCACGATTACCTGCAATGGAATCACAAGTTTCAGTCATTGATTTCCCTGTGTGGGTTCCATGGCTCGAGTTTCCATCCACGATTAACTGCAGTGGAATCACAAGTTTCAGTAGCTGATTATCAGATGATACGGTAATCGCAGTTCCAAATCCACCACAAACGGGTCACTTCATCGTGGCACCGCTCCTGTGCCTATAAAAACTATAATGTCCATCACTGTCGCCTGTATAAACAAACTGACACACACCAGCCGTTTCAGCAATGTAGATCTCACACACACGTGCATGTTGCGCCGTTAGATGTGCCAACACAAACAGTCCGACATTGGCAATTCAGTTCTTCGTGGATAGGAAGCAGGGGTTACAATAGATCAGTGATTGATTATCCCGTGTATGTTACCGGACATATGTCGTATTGACCCCTAAAAAGCATGTCCTAAAATTAAATTAATCAGTGGCCTGGTGAAACTGGATGTGTTGCGTTAAAAGTGCGCACATATTGCAGCCTTGCTGTAAATCATAGCACAATGTGCCAAAGGCTTTTTTTTTTTTTTTTAAAGTTCGAATGAAGAACAAGTTATTATTAGTAGCATACTGCCATAGCATGTTAGTTTAATTAAGATTCAGTTATTAGTTGCAGTCTTTGTTATTTCGTATCGTTCAAAGTCGAATCTTGTCATGTTATGCCGTGTCATATCATGTCGTTCCATTTAGTATATGAAAGTTCTTGGCAAAAGCTAATGCTCGACGTTTGGTGCAGGAAAGACTAGCATATGGTATCACACCACCCAGCTTAGGAATGGAGGTGGAGGCGGTCACTGCAGCTTTCCGCTGGTTAGAGAACACGACACACACACACCACACACACACACACACACACACACACGTCGTGATGTAACTGACTCAGAAAGCATGCTGAGGAAGGTGAGGACACTCATGCTTTGTGCAGAGTGGCTTGCATAAGAAGTTCGTTGTAGTCTCACCTCATGTTATATAGTGACAGGTTTTACAGTGTGGACTGCTTAAGGGGTCCTCGGATGTGGCCAATTTCTGTTATAAAGAAAAATCTGTTTATCCCCAGCAATTTTTCTTGCTTTAATTATTATCTGGATAAGAGAAATTTCTTAAAAGGAGAATCATTTTTTTAGGTTCCTGGTGAGTTCTCCTTATCAGGACTGCCTTGTATTAGGTTATTATAGTTTCAGAAATTAGTTGTGGTCTCATGTCAATATATATCGTGACACTTTATATCAAGTTATTACAGTTTTAGAGATAAGTTGTGGTCTCATGTCAATATATATCGTGACACTTTATATCAGGTTATTACAGTTTTAGAGATAAGTTGTGGTCTCATGTCAATATATATCGTGACACTTTATATCAGGTTATTACAGTTTTAGAGATAAGTTGTGGTCTCATGTCAATATATATCGTGACACTTTATATCAGGTTATTACAGTTTTAGAGATAAGTTGTGGTCTCATGTCAATATATATCGTGACACTTTATATCAGGTTATTACAGTTTTTAGAGATAAGTTGTGGTCTCATGTCAATTTATATCGTGACACTTTATATCAGGTTATTACAGTTTTAGAGATAAGTTGTGGTCTCATGTCAAGTATGGTATATCGTGACACTTTATATCAGGTTATTACAGTTTTAGAGATAAGTTGTGGTCTCATGTCAATATATATCGTGACACTTTATATCAGGGTATTACAGTTTTAGAGATAAGTTGTGGTCTCATGGCAGTTTATATCGTGACACTTTATATCAGGTTATTACAGTTTTAGAGATAAGTTGTGGTCTCATGTCAATATATATCGTGACACTTTATATCAGGTTATTACAGTTTTAGAGATAAGTTGTGGTCTCATGTCAGTTTATATCGTGACACTTTATATCAGGTTATTACAGTTTTAGAGATAAGTTGTGGTCTCATGTCAGTTTATATCGTGACACTTTATATCAGGTTATTACAGTTTTAGAGATAAGTTGTGGTCTCATGGCAGTTTATATCGTGACATTTTATATCAGGTTATTACAGTTTTAGAGATAAGTTGTGGTCTCATGTCAGTTTATATCGTGACACTTTATATCAGGTTATTACAGTTTTAGAGATAAGTTGTCAGGTTATTACAGTTTTAGAGATAAGTTGTCGTCTCATGGCAGTTTATATCAGGTTATTACAGTTTTAGAGATAAGTTGTGGTCTCATGGCACTTTATATCAGGTTATTACAGTTTTAGAGATAAGTTGTGGTCTCATGGCAGTTTATATCAGGTTATTACAGTTTTAGAGATAAGTTGTGGTCTCATGGCACTTTATATCAGGTTATTACAGTTTTAGAGATAAGTTGTGGTCTCATGGCAGTTTATATCGTGACACTTTATATCAGGTTATTACAGTTTTAGATATTAAATTTTGTCTCATGTCAGTTTATATCGTGACACTTCCTATTAGGTTCTTACAATTTTAGAGCTTAGAATTTGCTTCGGTGAAGTTAAATCGTCACACTTTATATCAAGACTAGGTCTTATGTTATCAAGGAATCTTTAACGGGCACAACGTGAGTTATCTGAATCTTTTCCCATTAATCTCAGAATACTGGAATTCCAGTTAATGTCCTCTGGCCGGTGGAGGAATACGCGTTCTTTCTTCATATTTTATATATATATCATATACAGTCTATTGACAAGACGTCGACCTGGCTGCTTCGAGATACTAAGCTAAGTGATTTTTTTATATTTGTGTGGTATTGTTTGATTTAATTAAGCACCGATGAAAGCTTCACAGCCGCAACGTTCAGTTTTGTTTGTGTTTGTTATATTGTGAAGCTTGCTGGTATATTTCTTTATGTTCGTTTTTAATATTTTTCTTGATATTGTTCCTATTTTCTACGAATTCAAACAGGCAACACCGCAAAACTAGTTTGGCTTCTTCGAAACAGTCGTGGATTCCATAATCTATTATCTGTATGCCATTCACAATAATGCTTGTGTAAGCTGTTAGTTTTGTCGGAACTGCTGTCTGTGTCAATATTCGAATGCGGCAGTGAGATCCAGAAGTGCTGAAGCAGACGGTGTGGTGCTGCAGGGACCTCGACTCATACTTGTCAGGACACATATAAATATCTCCGCAGTCATCCAAAGAGGAGGTTCCAAGCCAGGAGATAGGCCAGTGTAGATATGGTTGATGTTTCTTTCTTTCTACGTCGGAGGGCATCTGACAAAGAACCAACAGCCTGCTCATAAATAATCCAGATCTATGAAACGGATCTGCACACCACACAACACTTAAGTCCTTTAAAAAGATAAAAGTCACTAAGGGAACGAAAAAGCAGGAATTTCCGCCGGAGTTTAGAGCCGGTAAACGCAAAGAAGAAGAAGAAGAAGAAGAAGAAGAAGAAGAAGAAGAAGAAGAAGAAGAAGAAGAAGAAGAAGAAGAAGAAGAAGAAGAAGAAGAAGAAGAAGAAGAAGAAGAAGAAGAAGAAGAAGAAGAAAAAGGAGAAGAAGATGAAGAAGGAGAAGAAGATGAAGAAGAAGAAGAAGAAGAAGAAGAAGAAGAAGAAGAAGAAGAAGAAGAAGAAGAAGAAGAAGAAGAAGAAGAAGAAGAAGAAGAAGAAGAAGAAGAAGACGAAGAAGAAGACGAAGAAGAAGAAGAAGAAGAAGAAGAAGAAGAAGAAGAAGAAGAAGAAGAAGAAGAAGAAGAAGAAGAAGAAGAAAAAGAAGAATAAAAAGAAAAAGAAGAAGAAGAAGGAATAAGGATGAAGGAAGAATAAAGAAGAAAGAAAGAAAAAGGAAGGAAGAAGAAGAAGAACATGATGATGATAATTATAATGGTGGTGATGATGATGATTATTATTATTATTATTATGATAATGGTAGATGACGACGACGATGATGATCACAATATGATGATAGAATATGATTAATGACGATGATGGATGATCATAATGACGATGATGATGGCGATAATGATGGTGATAATGACGATGGATGACGATAATAGATAATGATGATGATAACGATGATGATAGATGACGATGAGGAAGAAGAAGATATTGCTCTGACAGGCATTGTAGGTGGTTTTCGCTTGCACAGGTTAACAGCAGGTTGAGAACCACTTGTCTACATCGTTCCCATTTGAAGTTAATTACTTTAAACTAAATGTTTGGGTGCTGGCTTGCTTCCATCCTTTGATGTCTTCATGTTCGCATGTCCTTACCTCATTTGATTCCGTTTTCTTCATTCCGACGAGTTTAGAAAACATGGCTCCCAGCTCTCAGTCACATGATCACACCGGAAACGAAGGCCAAAGCAACGCATCGGCCTCAAAACATATTTCTGTGGTCATTAGATGACGATAGTGATTCTGTCAGGGAGTTCGTGAACCCTTTCTTGGCTCGTTTGTAGATGTAAAAGTTTCGTGGGCAAGTAAAAGAAATTGTTTCATCCTGTACCGCATCCTATTTATCGTCCTCCTCCTTCTTTTTGTTCTTCTTCCTCCTTGTCCTCCCCTCCCCCTCATTATTCTTCTCCTTCTACTATTTCTTTTTCTTCTTCTTCTTTTTCTTCTTCTTCTTCTTCTTCTTCTTCTTCTTCTTCTTCTTCTTCTTCTTCTTCTTCTTCTTCTTCTTCTTCTTCTTCTTCTTCTTCTGCTTCTTCATCTTTTTCTTCAGTTTCTTTTTCTTCTTCTTCTTCTCCTTCTATTTCTTTCTTTCTTCTTCTTATTTTTCTTATTATTATTATTATTATTATTATTATTATTATTATTATTATTATTATTATTATTTTTCTTTTTCTTCTTCTGTTTCTTCATCTTCTTCTTCATTTTCTTTTTCTTCTTCTTCTCCTTCCTCTTCCTCTTCTTCTTCTTCTTCTTCTACTTCTTCTTCTTCTTCTTCTTCTTCTTCTTCTTCTTCTTCTTCTTCTTCTTCCTCTTCCTCCCCCTCCCCTCTTCTTCTTCTTCTTCTTCTTCTTCTTCTTCTTATTATTATTATTATTATTGTTGTTATTATTATTATTATTATTATCATTATTATTATTCAAGTGAAGAATCGCTTCCTCCTAATAAGTTTGTGGTAAAAACAAATGATTAGGAGTTGGCTAGGTCGAAAGGCGCTAATATCGCAACCTTAATATATACTACGGCATAACGTGTATTAAACATCCTGTTAAAGGCGAACGAAGAAGAAGAAGAAGAAGAAGAAGAAGAAGAAGAAGAAGAAGAAGAAGAAGAAGAAGAAGAAGAAGAAGAAGAAGAAGAAGAAGAAGAAGAAGAAGAAGAAGAAGGAAAAAAAAGAAGAAGAAGAAGAAATAGAAAAAGCAAACGAAAAAGAAGAAGAAGAACAAGAAGAAGAAGAAGAACAAGAATAAGAAGAACAAGAACAACAAGAACAACAAGAACAAGGAGGAGGAGGCCGAGGAGGAGTCCTTGCTAAGAGTTATCTAATCTTTTCCTGTTTTGGTCTGAGAATGTGTTACCTGGCACGACACAAACGAACAAAGCAAACTGGCAGTACAAACCAAACTTCAATGATAAAATTAATCAAAGATGTGCTAAGTAAATGATCGATGAGACGAGGAATCAATCAGACAGAAAAATTTACTCACGTTTCTGTCTGGAGGGTCGATGAACTCAATCGTGGACTCTTCCCCGTCGAGAAGCACGGTCACAGTTTTTTCATGAGGTTCTGAAGAACAGAAATGGCAAGCATTGTGTGAGGACATCTCTGAGCTGGGTAAAAGATCCAGAATGGCAAACTAGCATTAAATGATGTAAACTGACATAAAACATTCAGTGTCAACAAGCGAGGGTGGTAGTAGCAGTAGAAGCAGCAGCAGTAGTAGCGGCAGCAACAGCAGCAGCAGTAGTAGTAGCAGCAGCATCAGCAGTAATAGTACTAGTAGTAATAATAGTAGTAGTAATAGTAGTAGTAGTAATAGTAGTAGTAGTAATAGTAGTAGTAGTAATAATAGTAGTAGTAATAGTAGTAGTAGTGTTAGGAGTAGTTTTGATGCTTCTGTTATTAACTGTGAGGTTTGGAACATTAGCTCCGACAATTCTATTGTCCAGAGACCACCTCAAAACGACCGCCTTTTATGAGTTGATGACAGCACCCATTTCTGCACACCAGTCAGCCACTTTGTGTACAGTTACCTGTAGCTCTTTCTCTGTCCGTTTCTTATCGCTTCCCCCCCCCCCCCACCCTGTCTATGTGCAAGAAGACCATCTGCAAATATTATCATTTATCCATATTACATGCGAGGGTGCTCCACGCAGTAAACGCCGTCGCAAAACTACCACTCCTGTGGTAGTTTCTGAGTCGTCAGGGTACGACGGGCAGGGTGAACCCCACTCGCCCGGAGAGGCCCATGACGTCGACTGCGGAGGAGCACATTTGATGATTTCTGAAGAAGTGCGTTCCAAGATCAGGTTTCCACCTGCGAGCGAGAAGGTGGTGTGGTGTAAGTTGGAGGCTACAATATGTGAGGTACTTAAACAAACTCTAAACAAGAAGTCGCTAGGCGACAAGCTTACTAAATTTGGTGATGTAATATATGAACACTGCTCCCGCGAGTTCGGGACAGTAGTAAAGGCACAGCCGGGTGCCAAGCAGAATACTAGCAGGAGGCAGAGGGACATTCTGAAGTGTCGGGCAGACAAGAATGCCCTCAGAAAACGGTTTCAAAGCCGCTACAGGCAGCGAACGGGAGGGGCTGTACGAAGTTTGGTTGCATTTAAAGAACAAACACAGTGCCCTCTGTCGTGCCGAGCGTTTCTGTAACAACAGACGCAGAACCAAAAGGGAGCGAGAGAAATTCTTTAGGGACCCGTATCAGTTCGCCCGAGGTCTATTCGAGCAACCGAAGTCTGGGACTCTGGTTGTCAGTCAGGAAGAACTAGAGCTACATCTACGCAAGATGTACTCGGATAAAAAGAGGAGTGAGCCTCTCGATGACAATCCAGAGATCCTTAGCGGACTCAAACAGCCTTCGGTGCCGAAGGTACCATTTAAACTGGTACCTCCCCTTTGGTCTGAGGTTGAGGACGTTGTGAAAAAAGCCAGCGGCAAGTCTGCCCCAGGTCCGAACGGTGTTCCATACGTTCTTTACAAGCGTTGCCCGAAAATCCTTAAAATGCTTCACGTCTTGTTGAGACAAGCGTGGATCCGCAATCACATATGTCCAGAGTGGTCAAAGGCAAATGGGGTCTACATTCCCAAAGAGCAGGACTCGAAGAGTCTTTCCCAATTCAGGCCCATCTCGCTGTTGAATGTTGAGGGTAAGATATTCTTCTCAGTCATGGCTCGCCGGCTCACACAGTATCTGATGACTAACAAGTACATAGATACGAGTGTTCAGAAGGGTGGCATTCCAGGCGTTCCTGGGTGCCTTGAACACGCGACCATGATTTGGGAGGCTATCCAGAGAGCCAAGCATGAGAGAACCAATTTGCACGTTATATGGTTGGACTTAGCCAACGCCTACGGGGCAGTCCCCCATAGGCTACTGTGGCGAGCCCTTCGCATGTTTCACGTACCGACACAGATCAGTCAAATGGTCGAGCAATATTTCTCTAAGTTCGCTTTGCGCTTCTCTACCTCGACGTTTACCACGAGGTGGACTGAGTTGCAGATTGGGATAGCTATGGGTTGTACGATCTCACCCATACTGTTTGTCATGGCAATGCAGATCATGTTAGACGGGGCGGCCGGCTACAGACTGGGCCTTCAAATAGGGGATCACTGGTTGCCGCCACTGCGCGCATTTATGGATGACACGACTATTATAACGGGCAGCGAGGAGTCTGCCCGCACGATCCTGAATAGATTGGACGCGGTGGTCCAATGGAGCGGTATGCAGTTCAAACCGCAGAAGTCGAGGAGTCTGTCAATCCATAAGGGCAAGGTTTCGGCGACCAGTTTTACGGTGGCAAGGAACAAGATCCCTACGGTTCTGGAGGAACCGGTGAAGAGCCTCGGTCGCGTCTACGATTCGAAGTTATCTGACAGAGCGGAAGTCCGGCGAATACATGAGTCACTGGCTACAGGCCTGCTCGCGATCGAGCGATGCAGGCTGATCGGAAAATTCAAGGTATGGTGTCTCCAATTCATGTTGATTCCGAAGCTTCTATGGCCACTGCTAGTCTACGAGGTGACGATGACTGCAGTGGAAACCATGGAAAAGAAAATCAACACAGCCTTAAGAAAGTGGATTGGTGCACCGCCTTGTCTGACCGACGTGGCTCTGTATTGTAAACAGGCTAAGCTGGTACTTCCGTTCAAGTCAATAACCGAAGAGTTTAAAGTCGGCAAAGTTAGGCTCGCCATGCTTTTGCGCGAGTCCTCAGACCCAAATGTCATCGCTGTCCAGCCCGCTCTAAAGACTGGCCAGAAGTGGAGAGTCCTCGATGCGATTGAATCTGCTCAGAACGCACTAAAATTGAAGGAGGTGATGGGTTACACACAAACCGACCGTCGAGGCCTAGGGCACGGGAAAGTCAATTGGTGGTCAAAGGCCTCAGCCAAAGAACGCCGAGACATGGTGATACAAACGGTGAGGGACAACGAAAACGAGGTTCGGGTTCAGAAAGCAGCCCAACAGTCGCAGCAGGGCCATTGGGTCAGCCTGGAGAGCGCATTGCCAAGAGTACTCACATGGGGTGAGATCTGGCGGATGACCCCGCTGCGACTGAGCTTTATCGTTCGTTCGGCGTACGATGTATTACCGTCCGGTGTTAACATGGTTAAATGGTCTGCGACCAACGATCCGACTTGCCCGTTGTGCAAATTAAAGCAAACTCTTGAGCACGTCCTGTCCGCGTGCAGGAAAGCTCTAGGTCAAGGCCGCTATACCTGGCGCCACAACAAGGTGCTAAAAGAGTTAGCAGCCGTTGTCGACCAGGCTAGAATGAGGGCTAACGCCAGAGCCAGTTCTAGTATCGTCCCCATTCGTTTCCTCAAGGCTGGGCAGGTTCCTAAAGGTAAGGTCAACCAAAACGCATTCGCTCCATCTGCGCTAGACTCTGCGAGGGACTGGTTACTGGCGGTTGATCTGCCAGGACATGAACGGTATCCCGAGTTGATCCGTAAAACCGGCCTGCGACCGGACATCGTTCTCCATTCTGCGCAAAAACGGCAACTCATCCTGATTGAGTTGACGGTCCCGTTTGAGTCGCGTATGGAGGAGAATCACTTGTACAAGCACGAAAAGTACAGTGATTTAGCAGCCGGTTTGAGGAGAGACGAGGCTTACACAGTACGGGTATTTGCCGTCGAAGTGGGAGCGAGAGGCCTCGTTTCCACTTCGCTCTACAATGTGGTTAAAGAACTAGGATTGCGCGGTAATGAACGGAAACGAACACTTAAAAAACTGGGAGAGGCAGCCGAAAGGGCCTCGAGCTGGCTTTGGACGCAGCGCAACAACGTAGGGGAGGGCCTCGGTGAGCTGGTCCAGGTGTCTAGTGGAAAAGAGTTTCTTATCCCTTTGAAAAGTCCATCGTGTACGAATTGTCTGCCAGTGTTCCTCTGCCAACTGCTAATAAAAGTCCAACATGTGTCGGGTAAACCAAAGTAAGCTTGTCGCTCGGTCGTCCAGGCATGCGGACTGTTCTAATTACGCTGCCGCGGCGACTTCTTATCTCACAGTACCTCCTTCGAAACCACTAAGTCGTCTTGTCTCTGGCCGAAATAATAACACCATCCGGTAATTCTGTGCAGCGGGGAAGCAGCCCTGAGCTTCATGAACTCAGGTGGGCCCACCTCCGAATACGTTTAGGAATCGTGGGCCGAAACGTGTGTCGAAAGAGGATAATTTCTACTGATGACTGTAGATCCCCGCTGTACTTGCTCCCTGTGAGTTTATTCTTACATGATTCTGAGGTCCATGTACCCAGGCAAAGGGCAGCCACAGGTGAATACAGGACAGCTGTTATCCAGTTCACAAGCCAGGGACAAACCTTCTTCTCTTCGAGTGCAGATATCAAAATATCATATCTGACTCTATTGTAGGCATCATTAAGATCAAGTGCTACCACA